AGAACTAAAGCATTGTTAATACTGTTGAATAGACCTATGTGCTCTTCCTCCCCCATCCTATTCCCAGCCTCTGCAACTGTGAACATCATAGTCAAACTGTTGAAAACCAAAGAAAAAAATCTTAAAAGTAGCCAAAGAACAAAGGTCACATAACATTCCGGGCAACAACAATAAGGATGATAGCTGCTTCTCATCAGAAACAATGGAGGTCAGTAGAATGTGGAGTGATAGTTCTAAAATGCTAAAACAGGTAATACCCTGGCCGTCCAGTAGTTAGGATGTGGAGCTTTCATTGCTGAGGGCCAGGGTTCAATCCCTGGTTGGGGAACTAAGATCCCACAAGCTGCACGGCGTGCCCAAAATTAAAAATGAATGAATGAATGAATAAAATGCTAAAACAAACACAATTCAAGTTAGAATTCTATATCCAGTGAAAAAGTATCTTTGAAAAATGAAGGCAAAATACATTTCAGCCAATTGAAGCTGAGAGCATCAGCTCCCAGTAGGTCTGCACTACATGAAATTCTAAAGGAAGTTCTTCATGCTGAAGGGAAATGGTAATAAACTGAGACCAGGGTGTGAAGAAGGAATGAAGCCAAGAGCATAAGTTGCAGAAAACGTGCTGCTACAAACACATCAAGTAGTGAGAAAGGCTCATCACCAGTAAGGACAACGAACACCCTGATGTTTCCTGGATCGTGGGACTTTCAATGCTGAAAATGAGACAGCTCGGGTGAACTGTGATGACTGGCTACCCTAACTAGGACCCCGAATAAGGTCCTGAGGAGGGAGCTGTTCCTGAGAGCAGCAGACAAACAATGGAGTTTTGCTGTGGGCAAGAAAGAGAAAAGGCTACAAAGTGTATGAGACTTTATCTTCTCAAAACTAGACTTGCCCTTTAACTGAAGTAAACATTATTACATCCCTCTCCCACCCTTTGTATCTTATGTTTAATAGATCAAAGATAAGTCGTCCCCCCAGGAGCTGGCACATCATGAAGGCAGAAACACAAAAGCAGGAACAGCACAAAAGCAGGAACAGCAGTTCCATTTGGCAGTTGAGAGCTGACAGCTCAGACACAGTGACTCACAGACCTCCCTTCCTACAAGGCACATCTCACCCACTTGGCTGGGAGGGGAAGAGGGAAAGGAAACTAACAGTGTCTGCGTTTTTCCTCTAGGGTAATTCTTGTCATCCTCTTATTAGGTAAGAATTCTATTAGCCTGATGTTACTTTAAAAAAAACCAAGACTCAGAAAGGTCAAGTCACTTGCCCAAGATCACTTAGCCACGTCGCAGATTCAGTATTTCATATCATAGATGTCGTGTTCAAAAGCTTGTGCTTGGTGCTGGACACAGCCCTGCTACCCTAGCATAAGTGCTGACGTGAATACATGGGGCATGCAAGGGAAGATGCAGAGTAGAAGGAGATGAACTGGTGACCTGAACCAGAGTAGAAATAAGGCCACGGAAATGCAGAGCTTCTGGTGGGGACTGGCACCTCTCCTCCTCTAGGACAGGAATACAAATTTGATAAAAACTGAGATGTGTGGGAATTTACACTTATCAATGTGCCAAAGAAATGAGGTGTCCTCAAAATGATGCTGGGGAAGCTGGGGGAGAAGTGGGGAAGGAAACCAGTAAAAGAACTAGACATCTTATGGCTTCTCTTTAGGACTATACCCCTAGGCTCCCAGGATACTTCTGGACTGACCCCATCTGTCATCAAAGTAGGCCCTGGAAGAGCATTAAGAAATGTTTAAATGTTAACTGCAAAATGAAACCTATATAAAGAAGGCAAATTAGCTAGAAAAATATACCGTAAGCCAAGTGTCATGATTTTAAAGTGGTGCAACGGAAAGCACAGAGTTTGGAGTCAAACTGGTTGGGAGACCCTGGGTAGGTGACAACCTACTTAACCTTTATGTGTCTCAGTTTCTACAGAATAGAAACTATAATACCTTGTAAGTCTGTATGGGAAGTTCTGTATGGGAACCTCAGTTTTCTCATCTATTAAATGGGGATAACAATAGTACCCCTCTTATTCGGTTCTTGGGAGAATTAAATCAGTTTACACATGTAAAATCCTTAGAATAATGTCTAGTGCACGGTAAGCATTACATAGGGGTTGGCTATTATAATTAACAAATAAGCTAATACATTTTGCTCATAGCATGTATTATTCTCTCAAATTGTTTTTTTCAAAGCTCCACAATCCACCTCCTAGAGTAATGAAAATAAAAACAAAAATAAACAAATGGGACCTAATTAAACTTAAAAGCTCTTGCACAGCAAAGGAAACTATAAACAAAACGAAAAGACAACCCACAAAATGGGAGAAAATATTTGCAAATGAAGTGACCGACAAGGGATTAATATCCAAAATATACAAACAGCTCATGCAGCTCAACATCAAAAAAACCAAACAACCCAATCAAAAAATGGGCAGAAGACCTAAATAGACATTTCTCCAAAGAACACATACAGATGGCCAAAAAGCACATGAAAAGATGCTCAACGTGGCTAATTATTAGAGAAATGCAAATCAAAGCCACAATGAGATATCAACCTTACAGCGGTCAGGATGGCCATCATCAAAAAGACTACAAACAACAAATGCTGGCGAGGGTGTAGAGAAAAGGGAACACTCCTACACTGTTGGTGGGAATGTATGTTGGTGGGAATGTAAATTGGTACAGCCACTATGGAGAACAGTATGGAGGCTCCTTAAAAAACTAAAAATAGAACTACCATATGATCCAGTAATCCACTCCTGGATGTGTGTGTGTGTGTGTGTGTGTGTGTGTGTGTGTGTGTGTGTGTGTGTGTGTGTGTGTGTGTGTGTGTGTGTGTAAGTAGTGCTGCAATGAACATTGGGTTGCATGTATCCTTTCGGATTATGGTTTTCTCTGGAGATATATATCAATATATAGTGCAACTGTAACTAGTGCTGCAATATATATATATATATATATATATTGCAGCAATACTTACAGTAGCCAAGACATGGAAGCAACCTAAACGTCTATCAACAGAGGAATGGATAAAGAAGATGTGGTACATATATACAATGGAATATTACTCAGCCATAAAAAAGAGTGAAATAATGCCATTTGCAGCAACATGGATGGACCTAGAGATTATCATACTAAGTGAAGTAACTCAGACAAAGACAAATATCATATGATTTCACTTACATGTGGAATCTAAAATAACCAATACAAATGAAGTTATTTATAAAACAGAATTAGATTCACAGACTTCAAAAACAAATTTATGGTTCCCAAAGAGGAAAGGTGGCAGGGGGAGGGGTAAATTAGGAGTTTGGGATTAACATACACACACTACTATATATAAAATGGATAATCGGGACTTCCCTGGTGATCCAGTGGCTAAGACTCTGTGCTCCCAATGCAGGGGTCCCAGATTCAATCCCTGGTCAGGGAACTAGATCCCACATGCCACAACTAAGAGTTCACATGCCGCAACTAAAGATCTCACATGCCGCAACTAAAGATCCCACATGCCTCAACTGAAAGATCCTGCACGCAGCAACGAAGATCCTGTGTGCTACAACTAAGACCAGGCACAGCCAAATAAATATTAAAAAAAAAACCCAAAATGGATAATCAATAAGGATCTACTGTATGGCACAGGGAACCCTACTCAATATTCTATAATAACCTATACGGGAAAAGAATCTGAAAAAATATGGATATGTGTATATGTATTACTGAATCAGTTTGCTGTACACCTGAAACTAACATTTTAAATCAACAATACTTCAATCTAAGATAAAAATTAAATAAAAAGAAAAAAAGTCTTCATTGGACTGTTGGTGAGATGAGATGAGCCTAACCATCGCAACTGTACAACCAATAGCAATTTACTCCAAGATTTCATTTACTCTTATAAACTGCGTGCCCAAATAATAAAAAGGAGAATTAAAAATAAAATAAAAGCTCCATGAGGCAGGGGCTTTGTGTCTCCTCCTCAGTACAGCACAGTAGTTAGGAACACAGATTTTGAAACCAGACTGCTTGGGTTCTAATTCTGGTTCTACCACTTAACTACCTGTGTGAGGCAAGTTACTTAATCGCTTTGTGCTTCAGTTTTCTCATCTTAAAATAGGGATAAAAGTATGTACTTCATCAGGTTGCTGAATTAAAGGAGTTAACCTAAAGTGCTTCAAACAGTGCTGGGTACCTGGCAAGCACCACCATGATCATCGTTTTCAGCTTAAACACTGCCTCCTCAGGGAAAGCCTGTTCTTTCTCAGAGCATCTAGGACTCATCACAATTTGTAAATATTTTTTGTTTACTGTTTGTACTCCGTTAAGACAGGGAATTTGCCTTATTTACTACTGCATGCTCAGCACCTAGCACAATGCCTGATACAGCACAGGTACTCAGTAAATATATGCTGAATGATCAGAGAAGCAGATATTATTTCCGTGCCACCTGCGAGAAAGGTCCGGTGCTGTGTCAAGGCAGAAGAGAGCACAGCTAGGATTTGCACCAAGGTTCCAACCACCTAACTCAGCTGCATGACGAATAGTTATGAGGTATTCTGTAAACAACAAATAGGTCTAACACTCTGTTACTCTCTTCATCCAGACCTTACTCATCTGCCACGGTCTCCCGAGGTGGGACCTCCTGTTTGAAGCTTCCTCCATTCAAACCCATCTTTGCTTGGTTGGAGCTCCCACAGCACTCAGTATGTGTTTCTTAGCTGAGTCCTGTTTTTACACTTCTGTGCTATTTCTTCTACCTGTCATCTCAGCTGATGATGCCCTTGCTCTTAACACATTTGCTCTTCCTCCCTTTTCCCGAGCTCCTCCCACTGCTGGGCCCACAGGATACGCTCAGCACAAGCTTGGAGAGTGACCACTGCCGCTGCCTTTCCAGGAGCATGGCCGGGGCCACTCTGCATTCTGTATGCTTTCATGAAAGAGATGATGACTCTATAGGAAACAGGAGGTCGGCCAGGTGTCCTCTTACCTGATCTGCTGTGGCTGGTGGTGGCAAAGCTGTAGAGAGAGAGAGCATCCGCAGGGAGGCCTCCAACTGCTGGGGAGGTAAAAAGAAGTTGGGCACCACAATGGGCTCTGGGCTATAAAGGTAGTTAAGGGACACAAATACCTAGAAATCTTCCCCAGACAAGCATCTCCTCTGACCTCTACCACCCCTTTGTTTCCCTCCAACTTATTCCTGCCCATGAATCCTTTGCTCAAGTGGTTCCCTCTGCCTGGAAGGCTCTGCAACTCCTAACAAATTGGTCTATACTTTATGGGTCACTTCAGATCCCGCCTCCTCCCGGAACCCTCCTCTAAATCTCAGCCACAGTGACCCCTCCTTTCCTAGTCTAGTGCCCAGTCTGAAACACAGGCTAATGCTTTTTTTTTTTTTTAATTTTTTTTTTTTTGGCTACGTTGGGTTTTCGTTGCTGCGCATGGGCTTTCTCTAGTTGCGGAGAGCGGGGGCTACTCTTCGTTGCGGTGAGCGGGCTTCTCATTGTGGTGGCTTCTCTGGCATGGAGCACGGGCTCTAGGCACACAGGCTTCAGTAGTTGTGGTAGGCAGGCTCAGTAGTTGTGGCTCACGGGCTCTAGAGCGCAGGCTCAGTAGTTGTGGTGCACCAGCTTAGTTGCTCTGCAGCATGTGGGATCTTCCCGGACCAGGGCGCGAACCTGTGTCCCCTGCATTGGCAGGTGGATTCTTAACCACTGATTCTTAACCACAGGGAAGCCTGGCTAATGCTTATTTAGTCTGATATGACTCTCAATTTGTTTCCCCCAATATTCCCTAAGCTTCTCAAAGGCAGAGGCGGTGTATTTCCTTCAGTCACCTCACTACTTCCCTAGAGCCCCATGAGGCTGGCAGGTAGCAAGCACTGGGTGATACTTGCCGAGGGCCTGCTGGCCAAAACCTGACAGGGTAGGGGTGGGAAGGTGGCTCTAGGGCAGCATCTTAGGCTGGAAGGTGCTGCCTGGCATTGAAGGAGGGCCTGTCCTCCTGGGTGTTCTGTGCTCACATCCAGAAACGAGGGCTCTGTATAAGTAGGCACAGCTGATCCACCACCTGGACATGAGCCCTAGAAGTCGGGTGCTGTATCTTGCACTTCTCCATATCCTCTGGAGGTACCCAGTACTGTGTTGAGAACACAGTGTTCCACAAATTTGTTCAGTCAAAGCAATGATTCAGTTTAGGAGGGGACTATTTTGATGGTCTATTTGTTTCTGTTCAATAAGCAAAGTATCGTTCTGATGCAAATTGGTCTATCACTGTTCTTCCATGCTAGACTTCGAACTCGAGGAGGGCAAAGATGAGCTCTCTTTCACACTATATTCCTGTCACCTAGCATAGTACCCGAGACACAATAAATGTTCAATAAATATCTACTGAATGAATGAAATGCATCATTACCTGCTTTGGCTCAAGTCCCTGATTTTTCTACAGAGAGGTGGGGATGGAGTTGGAGATCCTGAAGGGAAAGAGCCCTTTGACCTCAGCCTTCCTCAGAGGCCCCGGTGAGGTAGGACCTATTTGCTGTCACGCTCTGACTGCTGAAGACTCAGCCTGACAGTCAGCTTGGCTGTGAGGTGCCCAGGGTGTGCTGAAACACCAAGCTCCCCTGCTCAGCCCAGCACCACCTGTCTTTCTAAGGGTCTTGCTCCAACAGTAACCTCTGTCACTTATTAGATGGTACCTTCACAAAAGTTCACACTTTGTGCCTGTTCCTTCACCTGTAAGATGGATATAATAATTGTACCTTTTGTTTTGAGAATTAAATGACATTATATATACAAAGTGCTTAGAATGGTGCCTGACACATAGCATGTACTCAGTAAATGTCAGCCCTTCCTGTCTCCCCAGTTGAGGGGGAAAAGTAACCACTGGTTCCCTCACACCTACTGAAATCTGCTTTCCATCCCCACCTCTGCACTGTCCTCCTAATGCTAAAGCCAGCGAATACATGTCAGTCCACATTGTGCTGGACTTGTCTTAAGCATCAGGGTGCTGATCACCACTCCCCGAAACCCTGCCGCTCCCATCTCTCTCGCCGGCCCTCCTCCACCTCCGCCATGGGTGCGTCTGCTCTCCCTGCCCTCATGTACTGGTGATCCTCAGGGCTCTGTCTTGTGTGTGTGGCTCTCCCTTTCCCTGTCTCCTTGCTGTTCTTGTCTGTTTCCAGAGATATCTACCTTTATAGCTGATCTCATCCTGAACTCCGGGCCTGCATTTCCTCCTGGACGTCTCACAGGCACATGTGCAAAAGAGAAATCTGCCTCTTCCCTCCAAACTGTCTGCCTTCATTTGCTATTTCCTACCTAGTAAATGACCTAACTTGTGACAGAAATCTCTCAGTCATACTTCTATTTTCCTCTTTCTCACCCTGCCCCTCTCTAATCCTCTCAGATCCCTCCTCCTTTTCCTCATCATAAAACAGTCTATGCTTTAGGTCAGACTTTCTTCATCTTTCATTATTACTGCAAGTTTCCTACCTGGTCTCCTTGCTTCTGGTCTCCACTGACCTAATCCACCCTCTACAAGGTACTGGGAGAATTTTCTAATATGTAAATCTGACCAATCATACGCTTGCTTAACATTTACTGAACACTATTTACGCACCAGGCACTATGCTAGGTAGTTTACATTGTTAATTCAATTTTCACAACAACCCCACAAGAAAACTACTGTTATTACTTATTTATTTAAAGATAAGGAAACTGAAGTTTAATCTGCTAACAAGACAGAGTCCAAGTACCTTAGCCAGATATAAAAGGCCCCTTCAGATCCAGCCCAGCTTCACCCCTCACCATCCCTCTTATCTGGGGGCTCTAACCACAGTGACTTCTGCCCACAGGCTAGGCTCCTTCAAGTGGCTACGCCTCTGCGCACACAGTTCGCTGTGACTAGAACGTTCTTGTCCCTGCCTACAGAATGGCTATTCATCTTTGAGGTCTAGCTCTACTGTCTCTCTTTCTGGGATACCTCCAGAGTTATGGCAGCTTCCACCTCTTGTTCCCTAGCATTTTGTCCATGCCTTAGAACAATAAAGGCTATTTATCACTGCCTATTTACTGTTACTGTCATTACCTGTCTCCTACCTCATAAGGGGAACTTCTCAAGGTAAGGTCTGATTCAAATCTCTGTCGTCATTACACAGCACCGGGCCTGGCAATACTCACTTTTTGAAAGAATGAGTAGTCGGGAAGGCCCGAATTAAAGCAGTGCCCTTAGGACCTGGCACATGTGACTGCTCCTCCACTGACCATAAATTCTGAGCACAACTAAATCGACTGCAGAGGCAGAAACATCAGAAGCCAGGAAGAATGAGGCCAGGAAAGAACACCGAGGCACTCTGCTTTTAGTGCTCAGCCTCTAGCCATTTCACGCTTTAAGCCTCTCCTGAGCCCATCCCCCTACCCTCAGGTTTCTCTCTGCCTTGCATCAAGAATCACATCTGTGTGGTACGTACAAATGTTCCCACTCATTTGATTTTCTCAAGAATCCTGTGAAACTGATAGCTCATTTCAATCTATATTTACTGATCCTTTCTGTGTGTCATGTCTGGGGACATGGAGAAAGACAAGGTCCTTGACCTCCTTGGGAATGTACAGTCTGGTGGGTAAGGGATTATTACCTCCATCTTATAGGTAAAGAAATCGAGGCTCTGAAAGGTTAAACTATACGCTTGATGTTACACAAGTAGTAAAAGCTGGGTCCGAAAGGTCGAAGTCAGGCCCCCTGATTTCTAGTGGAGAAAGGACTGCAAAGCACTACAAAGGCAGCCTGCTTCACCCACCAGCCCTGCAATAACCCCTGCTTATTGTTGGGATATCAGGTGAGCTGATGTGATCAGCTGGTTAGGCTACAGATGTGAGGGCTACTGATGGTCCCAAGTGGTTTCCTTTCCCCATAACATGCCCATCTGCATTTCAAAGGAGGAAGAGGGGGAATGTCAGATGCCCCTCTCCCCATCAACACTGCCATCCTGGGGGGGCTTGGGTAAGACCATTTCAACAGTGCCCACTTTCCCCTCCCCTTGGACCCATCACTTGCCTTTAAAAAAAGTTAATTAGGCAAGTCACTAAAACTCTGAGTCTCCATTTCATTACATGCAAAATAGAAATGATACCAACTTTAAAGACTTGTGTGGCCGAATGCAAAATGTACGTAAAGTGCCTGGCACACGGTAAATGCTCAATCCGTGGTAGGACTCTTCTTTCTCTATATCCTCCCCTGAAATTTCAACTGAGATTAATGGTCTCATTCCTTAGATGCAGAACTTTGCCTTCAGGTGTAAAATACCCAGAGATTAATCAGATAAATCAGGCTAGGATAGGCTAATGAATGTACTACCAACATCTAAACCCAGTACGAAGCATTATACTTCAGAGGCCTGATGATAATGGTAGAATCGTAGCACCTGATCAGTACAGGGGAGTCTTCAGCAGGAAGGGGCTCCCCATGCCCCTGAGTGCATTCTATGAGGGGGGACACTGCTCACGCTCATGCGGCTGGCCTAAGCACCGGCACCCAAAATGCCTAGAGATGGCTTAAGGGGCTACCTGGGGGAAACACCAAAGGATACAGAAGGATGCTCTGCTTCGTGGACACCTCTGACCCAGATGTCTGCTGCTTCTGCCTGATGTCAGGGCAGTTGATGGGTGGCTGCTTATGGTTTTCCCTTCTGCTCTGGGAGGCTGGGTGTAGAGGGAGCTTCTCAGAGCTATCAGCAGAGTCACTTAGCTCATCAGAGGCCACTTCCTTCTCAGCCTGGGCCTCTGGCTTGGGCTCCTGGTCCTGGCCTGCCTTTGGTGAGTGCCACCCAACACAGGTTTTGCTCTGTTGGGCTCCTGAGAGTGTCACATGGGAGCTGAGCTGAGGGCCTGCTGAGGCAGGCTCTCCAATCCTGGCCTTACAGGCCATGCCCTCACAAGGAACAATACTTTGGCTAGGAGAGCCCTGCCTATGCAAGTGGGGGTTAACAGTCCTTTCCGGGCTGGACAGAAAGCTACTTCTGACCTTGAGCTCCTCTCTGGGGAAAGGCTCTGAAGGACAAGAGGGGCCTTCCCTCTGCCCCTCATCAGGCTGAGGGCTGATGATCTCACTTGCATCTGACATGAAACTGGACCAAGGGCTAGTTTTGTCTGTCACGGTGGTGACCTCATTGAGGGCCCTGGGCTCAATGATGTCTTCTTCATAGTCCTCATCACTGTAGGCCAGGCCTGCCCTGGTGTCCTCACTGCTCTGCATTCTTGTGGTGGGTACCGTGTGCCCCAGGGCCTCGTGAAGCATTCCTCTTCCACCTGAAGTCTCTTCAAGAGTAGAGGGAGGTGGGGAGTTTCTGCCCTCATCTGGAGCTCTTGCCAATGGCAGGTCTGGAGTTGTGCTTCGTTCTTGCGTGGCTATGTCCTGAGCATCTGGGAGGGTGGTGACTTCTCTGCTTCTACTCCTCGCTTGGTGAGAACGCAAAGATCCTTGGGAGTTCCGGGTGATAGTCTGCAGATCTAAACAGTAACAGATATCACTCTTACTACAAGGTAGGGCCCCAGACCACTCAACTTTCCCACATTAGCTTCTAGTTTCAGATGTAGTCTTGCAATCAGACCTTTGAACAAACCTTAATAATAGTTAATTTGCCCCCAAGAGTCAGTGAAACTATATTCAAGGCGGTACAATTTCTAGCATTTTATTCTAATATCAGAGGACCAAAATCATTTATAGCTGTGGTTACGTCTGTGGAAACACTTTCAGAGACTATCTGCTCATGCTCAGGAATTCTTGGGAGCTGGGAGTCCTGGTAGGAATGTTCATGCTTCCATTTACTTCAGTAATTACCTATATTAAAAACCAAAATGAGAATCCACTTATTTACCTATTTGATGACAGCTATTAGAACTATTTTATTTGGAAAATAAAAGCAAAGAAATACCCATGAACCAAATGATAAGGCTGTGGAGATTTGTGAAGAAAATGGAGGCGGCATGGTGTGCTGGAAAGAGCACAGGCTTTGGAGCCAGTCAGGCTTGGGTTCAAATCTCTACTGTCACTTGTCAATTTTGTGGTTACGAGCAAACTATCCTGAGTCTGTTTATCTTTAAAATGTGATAAAACACCACCTTTTTCACAGCGTTATGGTGAAAAATATATGAGATAAATAGGCATACATTGTGTAGCACATATATAGGCATTCAGTAACTCCTTTCAAAATTCATCCTCTCCTTGTGAAAATCAGTTCTCCTTCCGTCATCCCCTTGCTTAGAACTCCCCTTTTTCTTCCAGGATAAAGATTAAACTACTAAGCTTGCCTTCAAGGCCCTTCGGCTTCAAGCCTTTGATTCTCCTCACTCTCCTCTTTTAATATGACCTTTAAAGGGATTCTCCTTATCCACTCTCACCTCCACCCCAGACAAGCCTCCCTCTGTTTTGCTCTTATGCTTTCTTTCTGGGGGGCAGCTTCTTTGGTTGACTATAGAATGCATGCTTGATGAAAGCACAGACAATGCCTGTCTTGTCCACCACTGTATCCTGCCAGAACTAGTGACACAGTAATGCCTGGCACAGTTGGCTCAATAAACAGTAAGTGGAAGCCAAACACAGAGTACACTTCTGTGGTCCTGGCTACCAAAAGGTTAGGTATCTGGGAGAAGAGGGCAGGAAGGTTTGTGTCTAATATCAACCATGGTGGCTTGCTTTCCCTTTAAAGAGAAAAAACTGAACTTATTCATTCCTGTGTAGAATCTACACATTCTGCTTGAGAAAAATGATCCCGGGAATTCCCTGTGCTTTCACTGCTGAGGGTCCGGGTTCAATCCCTGGTCGGGGAGCTAAGATCGCGGTGTGGCCAAGAAAAAAAAAAATCTCCCTGAATGATATCAATACAGTCAAAGTGAGAACCACCACTTAAGGGGGCTTTTCAAGGGTAGACTATGGACCACCAACACCTAGAATCATCTGGGGTGCTTGCTAAAAGTGTAGTCTTCTGGCCTCTGAGAATTAAAATCTGAAATATGTTTGTAGCTGAGTTTTTCTGAAAATAGAGTGGCACAAGTTCACGAACTGCCACTGAAGAACTCATCTAATCCATTCCCCTTTTTCTGGTTGGGGAAACTGAAGCTCAAGAAGGGAAAGGGTATGCTCAGAGTCAAACAGTTAAGTCCGTGCCACAAACCCACCAAGGACTCGACTTGGGTCCCCTGCCTCTCAGTCCCATGTTCTTTCCATTGCACATGTCCCAGTGCCATGCTACTACGTCTCTCCTTTCAAAAGGAAGACAGTAAATAAGTAAGTAAGAAAGATGGTGAAAGCTGTTGGTCTCTATTTGCCATAAAGACTTGTCTGAAGGCACACGTTCAAATGCTTTTTGAATAAGTACCCATGACCATAACTCCTCATCAGGAGCGGCCCTGAGCCATACCCGTGATTAACGAGCTGACTTGCAACACCAGGTTATTGGATTTCTCCAGGATGCAATGGCTTTCGGGGTCTAGGCTGCTGGCTCCTGGCCGAAGATGGTCCCCCTGACTCTCTTGGCACTGCGAGATGGCAGTATGGGTCTGAGGACTGAGGGGAAGTAAAGGCTTGGTGAGCTTCTGGCTGAAGTACTGCTGGATCTGATCTAGCTCACTCAGATTCCTCCTGCAAAAGAAGAAGGGGAGAAGAAAAAAGGGTCATTCACTGGGATTATGAGCATCTTTTATGTTCCTCTGACCTTCCATTGCTTGAGCTAGGACCTTAGCATCTCTCACTTGGTCTATTAACAGCAGGGCCCCTCTCTCTCCAATCCACCAATTCACCCTTCACCTCTCTGACTACAATTCCACTGCCGGGGACAACATTTTCCCCCTCTATCTGGCTAATGGGATTCCTCTTCTGATGTCCAGCAAGTATTCTACCTCCTTATAGGGAACCATTCTTATCATCATTCCAGTCCTCACTTCCCCTTACTCTGGACTAGCACTGACCTCTGCTACCTTTTAACCATTCCTGATGGAATGGTTCAAGCAAGTGACCTTCAAGCAAGTGACCTCTTCCAGCAAGCCTTCCCTGACTCTCTAAGTTGGTTTAAGGGCCTCTCCTCTGTGCTCTAGTCTTTCTGTACTCTTCAACCATATCATTTGTTTGTTTCACATCAATTTCCCTTGATGTGATGTGAACTCTGTGCTGGTTCCTTTACATCTACTGCACCCAGCACAGTGCTTGGCACAAAATAAATGAATGCTGAATGGATAAACAGACATGAATAAACGGGCTTTACAAAAATCTTCTATTCAAAAACCTTTAATTGGGGCCCATTCATTCTTACTACTCCAAGGAGAAATCACACCAACTATTACCACCTTCACTTGCATAGGATTTTACGTTTTATGCTTTCAAACACATTACCTTGTTTAATTCTCATCCAACCAGATGAGATCAGTAATTACTGTTTTACAAATAAGGAATGTGAGGGTCAGAGAATTTAAGTGATTTGTCTAGGGTAAGAAGTAGCATGCAGCTACTCAGAAATTGGAACTCCAAGACTTATGCTTTTTCCATTATAGTACATGGGCTCTGTCCCAACTGGGTTCATTTCTGCCTCACACCCCTGCAGGCTAGAACCCGAGTTCAAGCTGCTCCCTGCTCTGTCCCTGTCCTATTCAGGGGGGCAGCTCGTATTTCTCCTTTTCAAAGTCCATTGCCCCAAGTCATTAGGCCACCTCTCCCTTAAACTTCTTCACTCTTGGCATCTAACCTTCTGCCTTAGATTTTCCCTTAGTTTTCTCATTATGTGTTAGTTTAGTTTCCCTAACTAGGCCATGCGCGTCTGGTAATAGAAGATAACATCTCAAACTTCTCTATTTCTCTAGTATACTCAGTGTGCCTGGCACAACTTGCACAACGCAGACACTAAATAACTGTGAAGTAAACAGAAAGTCTTTCTATCCTTTTGTTAAGAACAGTCTGCATATCTTAGAGTCAAACGTAAATTAAATGAGAGGACAAAGCTGATCCTTATTCTATCACTAGAAGCCACAACTCTATCAAATCATAGTGGATTTACTTAGGTGTCTATATCTGGGTTTATGCCACATAGATAAATACCTGTAGCAGGAACATGCAGACAAATGTCAACTTGGTGAAACTTTAGAAAATATGCAAACCCAACTGGCCTCGTCAGAGGTTCTGGGTATAGAACCTATTAACACCTAGCTGCAAATTCCTCATTTGTGGGAAAAGTTTGGTAATACTTGCCCTGCAGGCCTCACAGGATTGCTGTGACTCAAATGAAACACTGCTTTAGGGCTCCATGAACCCAAGGAAGTAATGCAAAATTGACATTATCTTGTTTCATCTCTGTTTCGTAGAGAATTTGTCTACGGCAGTGGTTCTCAAAACCTGGCTCTAGGACTGGCAGCATCAGCATCACCTGAGAAGTTGTCAGAAATGCAAATTCTCAGGCCCTATCCTAGACCTACTGAATCAAGAACTGTATGGGTAGGTCCCAGCAATAACTGTTTTAATAAGCTCTTCATGTGATTCTGACACACACTGAATTTTGAGAACCACTCCTCCAGGGCAGTGGTTTTTAGCCTGATGGTTTTAGCTCCAAGGGGATATTCGGCAATGTATGGAGACATTTTTGGTTGTCACAGCTGGGAGAGGGGCGCTACTAATATTTAGTGGATAGAGACCAGGGATGCTGCTAAATATCCTACGATGCACAGGACAGGCCCCCACAGGCAAAATATCTGGCCCAAATGTCAACAGTGCTGAGGCTGAGAGAAACTGCTCTAGGGTGAAGGAGAGTTTCTTTCTCTCCTTCCTCAGTGGGTGCTAAAGTATGTCAATTGAATGGACCAATAAAATGCAGCCACACTGTTGATGGTTTTACTTAGCCTCCAATCTCCAGCATCTTCCTAGAATGAGAATCTGAAAATATTACTTTCTTATAAGTTTGAGCAATTTCCCAGTCTATAGCATGACTGCTCAGTCCTTTCTAACCCATGTCCCACCAAAAAAGATTTGCCAATCTTTCATTCTGAGCTTGTTTTATGAAATCAAATAATAGATTAGTTTTTTCAAAAAATAAAATCCTTTTTTATATTTGTTTCCTCAAACTTTACACATTCTCTTCCTCCCGACCCCATCACTTTCCATTTGAGAATCACTGTTGTAAAAGTGCAAACTCTTGGCCTGACATTCAAGGCCCTTCAAGAACTGACTCCCACACAGCTTGCCCTGCTCCCTACATCTTATGCTCAGCCTCACCCTAACTGCACTGCTGGTATCTCCCCAAACTGGGCTTATTGTTTCATGCTCCTGGCCTTAGCACATTTTTTTTCTGCACAGAATGCCCTTCATATTTGTTGACTTGTTCCTTTAAAGACCAGTTCAAATGTGACTTCTTTATATCTTTCCATGTACCTTATCTTACTCATTCCTCCATGTATCCCTGGCCAGGAAACCTGGAACTCTTATCATACATGGTTATAATTATAATGGCAACATGGCTGTCTCCTCTGCTGGGAATGGCAGAACCAGGATTGGAAATCAAGTCTATCTGACTCTGGAGCCAAGTCCTTTCCATTGCACCACACTTCTTACTAGGTAATCCAGGGGCTGATCCAAATGATCTCTAATGGTCCTTTCAATTCTCACAGTGCTTTTCTGGCTTAGATGCTGACTAAACTAAGAAAGAGATAGGGAAGCATTAACAGGACAGATGCTGGTCTGGAAGAATCCAGTGGCTGTGAGGATAAAGACAGTGAGACAGCAGGCAGGATCAGGCTTCATAAATTGTACAGTAGATGTGAGGGTGGTTATTATTAAGTTTGATGACCAATCTAAAGTTTCTATATTTATAGATGGACCAGAAATATAGCCCCCTGAAGGACTGGAAGGCCCCAAGCTGAGACAGATTCATCTGTGAGGAATCCTGTGAGGCTCCAGGTCCACTTCGAAGCTAACATACACGAAAGCCCTTGCTAAACATCCCGGAGCGGTGGTAGCTGATAGAAAGCAGTACTGCAGGTTGCCTTTGCCCCTTCACCCTGCGCTCCACTATGGTTCCCTGTGTCTTTACTCAGCAGAGAGCCTCACCTGAGGGAAGTCAGAATGGAAGTATGGGAGGAAAAGGGTGATGTGGTCAGTTTGTCATCACTTGGCAAGATTGCCTCTCCCTGCTGCAGGGATTCATGGAATCGGCGGATGTTCTGCACATGCTCTTCATGGCGTGATGCCTTGCTTCTTGTGGTACTGCTTCTATCAGGAATAAATGGGGGCAAAATAAATTCCCAACCAATGAGAAAACAAACAATAAATTCGTGACAACAAACAAATCACCCTCCTGACATGGTACCGCAAATCCATCCCCACTACCACAGTTCTGGCTTCATCGACTCAATTGCTTGGATTATAATCATCTCCTGAAAATTCTGTCTTCAGTCTTATTCATTCCCCTTTTATAAATTCTCTACATTATAGCCTCAGTGATTTTTTAAAAACACAGAACTGAAATAACAATAACAACATTTATGGAGTCCTTATTATGTGCCAAGCACTGTTCTAAGCATTCAACATATACTAACCTATTCAATTACTATCATTCCTTTCTAGCTTTGGCTTCTCTTTTTTTATCTTTAGAACAAATTTCAAGTTCCTTAGCATGGTATTCAAGAACTTGATCCCAGCAATAATCATCTTCTTTTTGTTTTTAATTAATTAATATTTATTCATTTAAAAATTAATTAATTTATTTTTGGCTTAGTTGGGTCTTAGTTGTGGCACGTGGGATCTTTCGTTGTGGCACACGGGCTCTTCATTGCGGTGCACAGGCTTCTCTTTAGCTGTGGCGCGTGTGGGCTCCAGAGTGCATGGGCTCTGTAGTTGTGGCACATGGGCTCTCTAGTCGTGGTGTGCGGGCTCAATTGTCCCGCGGCATGTGGGATCTTAGTTCTCCAACCAGGGATCAAACTTGCGTCTCCTGCATTGGAAGGCTGATTCTTAATCACTGGACCATCAGGAAAGTCCGTTCTTCTTTTTAAATAACAGCTTCATTGAGATATAATTCACATACCAAAGAATTCACCCATTTAAAGTGTACAATTCAATGGATTTTAATATATTCAGAGCTGTGCAACCATCAGCACAATCAATTTTAGAATATTTTCATCACTCTAAAAAGAAATCCTACTCCTAACAGCCATTACTCCATACTTCCTCCTCTCCCCTGACCCTCCACCCAAACCTCCCAGCCCTACGCAACTGCTAATCTACTTCCTGTCTCTACAGATTTGCCTATTCCAGATATTTTATATTAATGGGATCATACATATGTGATGTTTTGTGACTAGCTTCTTCCATTTAGCATAATGTTTTCAAGCTTAATCTATGTGGTAGCATATATCAGTACTTCATTCCTTTTCATGGCTGAATAATTTTCCATTGTATAGATATATCACATTTTGTTTATCTACTTATCAGTTGATAGACATTTGGGTTGTTTCTAATTTTTGGTTATTAGGAATAATGCTGCTACAAACAATCATGTACAAGTTTTTGTGTGGACATATGTTTTCATTTCTCTTGGGTATATATATAGGAGTGAAAGTACTGGATCATATGGTTACTCTATGTTTAACCTTTTAAGGAACTGCCAGACTGTTTTTCAAAACAGCTGCACCATTCTACATTCCCACAAGCCATGTATGAGGATTCCAATTTCTCCATATCCTCCCCAACACTTGTGATAATTTGTCTTTTTGATTACAGCCATCCTAGTGGATGTGAAATGGTATGTCATTATAGTTTTCATTTATATTTCCCTGATGGCTAATGACATCAAACACCTTTCATGTGCTTATTGGCCATTTGTATATCTTCTTTAGAGATATATCTATTCAGATCATTTGCTTATTTTTTTTATTTTTTTGCGGTACGCGGGCCTCTCACTGTTGTGGCCTCTCCCGTTGCGGAGCACAGGCTCTGGACGCGCAGGCTCAGTGGCCATGGCTCACGGGTCCAGCTGCTCCGCAGCATGTGGGATCTTCCTGGACCGGGGCACGAACCCGCGTCCCCTGCATTGGCAGGCGGACTCTCAACCACTCTGCCACCAGGGAAGCCCCATTTGCTTTTTTTTTTTTTTTTTTGTGGTACGCGGGCCTCTCCCCGCTGCGGCCTCTCCTGTTGCGGAGCACAGGCTCCGGACACACAGGCTCAGCGGCCATGGCTCACAGGCCTAGTGGCTCTGCGGCATGTGGGGTCTTCCCGGAACGGGGCACGAACCCGTGTCCCCTGCATCGGCAGGCGGACTCTCAACCACTGCGCCACCAGGGAAGCCCATTTGCTTATTTTTAATTGAGTTATTTGCTTTATATTATTAAGTTGTAAGAACTCTTTATATATTCTGGATACAAGTCTCTTATCAGATCTGTGATTTGCAAATATTTTCTCACATTCTGTGGGTTGTCTTTTCACTTTCTTGGTATCGTTTGTAGAAGGAAAGTTTTAAATTTTGATGAATCCAATTTATATTTTCCTTTGTTGCTTCTACTTCTGGTGTCATATCTAAGGAATCATTGCCTAATCGAAGGTTATAAAAATTTACTATGTTTTCTTCTAAGAGTTTTTATAGTTTTAGCTCTTATATTTAGATATAGGACCCATTTGGAGTTAGTTTTGTATATGGTCTGAGGAAGGGGGTCCCACTTCAGTCTTCTGCTTGTGGATATCCAGTTGTTCCAACACATTTCTTGAAAAAAGACTATTCTTATTATTAAACCATCTTGGCACGTTTGACATCTTGGCATCCTTGGCACATGGGTTTATTTCTGGATTCTCAATTCTATTCTATTGATCTTTATTTCTATCCTTATACCAGTGCTGTATTGTTTACTGTAGCTTTGTAGTAAGTTTTGAAATTGGGAATGTTTTTCTTCCTTTTCAAGATTGTTTTGCCTATTCTGTGTCCCTTAAATTTCCATATGAATTTTAGGACTAGCTTGCCCATTTCCATAAGGAATCCAGCAGGGACTGTGATATAGGGAGTATGTTGAATGTACAGATCAATTTGGGGAACTGATCTTAACAATATTAAGTCTTCCAATCCATGAACATGGGATATCTTTCCATTTATTTATAACTTCTTTAATTTATTTCAACAATGGTTTATAGTTTTCAGAGAAAACGTTCTGTACTTTTTTGGTTAAATTTATTCTTAAGTATTTTATTCTTTTTGATGCTATTGTAAATGGAATCATCTTTTCAATTTCTTTTTGGATTATTCATTGCTGATGTACAGAAACACAACTGATTTTGTATATTTTAAAAGTTTCTCAGTTTGGGGGTGTGTTGCAGGGAGGGATAAATTAGAAGGTTGGGATTAACATATACACACTACTATATATAAAACAGATCACTGGGAATTCCCTGGTGGTCCAGCAGTTAGGACTCTGTGCTTCCAATGCAGGGGGCACAGGTTTGATTCCTGGTTGGGAGACAGATCTTGCATGCTGCACAGCACGGCCGAAAAAATTAAAAAATTAAAAAAAAAAAAGATAACCAACAGGGACCTACTGTATAGCACAGGGAACTATACTCAATATTTTGTAATAACCTATAAGGGAAAAGAATCTGAAAAGGAATATATATATATATATATATATAAAATCACTGAATTACTGTGCTGTACACCTGAAACTAACATGATATTGTAAATCAACTATACTTCAATAAAAATAAAAATTTAAAAAAATTGTAAGAAATTAAAAAGTGTCCCCATTTAAATTTCTAATATGGTAAAAACTGATAGCTATAACCTACAGAAACAAACCTCTTTGAGGTCATCAATAATTTTTAAGAGTATAAGGGGGTTCTGAAGTGGAAATGTTTGAGAACCACTGCTTTATTAAAGTATAACTGGTATATAATAAACTTCACATATTTAAAGTGTACAATATGTATTTTAACATATATGTACCTCTAAGGAAACCATTACCACACACATTAAGATAATGAACATATCCATCACCCCTAAAAGTTTCCTCCTGTCCTTTGTAATTCCTCCCTCTTTCCCGCTCCATTCATCCTGCCTTATCCCTAGGCAACCACTGATTTTCTTTCTGTCACTATAGATTAGTACACATTTTCTAGAATTTTATATAAATGGAATCATATACAATGTACTCTTTGTCTAGCTTGTCTCTCTCAGCATAATTATTCTCTCAGCATAATTATTCTGATATTCCTTTGATTGTCTCACGGATTGGCTATGGTCAACGTAACACCTATAAAATAGATATTGGGATCTAGGATTTCACATACACATGGGATCCCTTCATGCAGAGGGCAGAGGCTCTCTTCATGTGGTAGGAAAGCTACATAACACTGAAATGGGTCTTTGAGTGGCTAAGCAGTATTAGAGTATCTTTCTTGGAATAAAGGGTCTACTCAGTAACTGCTGCTGTAGGAGTGGCTTGTATAAGATCCCTTGCCTTCTCCCTGAGGTAGAGAGAGAGACAAGGAAAAGACTGATGGAGGCAGGGGAATGCCAAATGACACTAGGGCCTGAGGGGAATGGGGTGGAAAGAAGCAATCTTAGTCTTAGATTCTACCCTTTGACAGGATGGAATATGCTCTAGTCCTGATATCCATTTGCATATCCACAGTTGGCTAGGTGAAAAGGGTGGGCCAACTGCTTTTCACAAAATAACCTGGCATGTAGGTTTGGGAGGGGAAGGGTCATGATATGTTTCTCACACAGCTGATGACTGATTTTACGGATGAAGGTTAAGGCCTCTGAGGAAAAGAGAAAAGAGTCCCTTGCACTGAAGCTACCCTTTTTTTTTTTTTTTTGCGGTACGCGGGCCTCTCCCCGCTGTGGCCTCTCCCGTTGCGGAGCACAGGCTCCGGACGTGCAGGCTCAGTGGCCATGGCTCATGGGCCCAGCCGCTCTGTGGCATGTGGGATCTTCCTGGACCGGGGCACGAACCCGTGTACCCTGCATTGGCAGGCGGACTCTCAACCACTGCGCCACCATGGAAGCCCGAAGCTACCCTTTTGATAGCAGTAAAACTTCCCTTTTTTTTTTTCTAAAAAAATATTTATTTATTTATTTTTGGCTGTGATGGGTCTTATTTGCAGCATGCGGGATCTTTCATTGCGGCACGCAGGCTCTCTAGTTTTGGCATGCAGGCTCAGTTGCTCTGCAGCACGTGGGATCTTAGTTCCCCGACCACGGATCGAGCCTGTATCCCCTGCATTGGAAGGCAGATTCTTAACCACTGGACCACCAGGAAAGTCCCTAGTTTCTATCTTATAAAAACTCTTTTCATAGGATCTTGGGGTTCCCAGGGGTATGAAAGAAGGTCAATTGTCTTTCCCTGTCTCTCATTTCTTCCTCTAATAAAGGAAAGAGAGAAATGACAAGCTAGTTTGCACACTTCCACTCTTGACCCCATTTCCTTCTATCATAAAGAAATCACTCACCTCCCAGGAGAGGAGAAATCAACCTCCTTTGATGAGGTGTGAACAAGTTGTTCTGGAGTCTGTCCTGCAATGCAGCCAGGGAATGCACCATACATATCAGAGGCAGGGAAGGAAAAGGTACTATATATTGGGATCTGTAGAAGCAAAGAGAAAAATAGCACACTTGTTGCCACAAATCCTTTTGGAAAAAAGCAGTATAAATAAATTTGTAAAATTTATCGTATGCATATAATTTATTATTTTCTATGTATTTGAACACTGTACTAAGCAAGGTACATGCATTTTCTCGTTTAAACATCACAATCTTATGAGGTAGGTACTATTATTATCCCCATTTTACAGACTACATTATCAGACTGCTTTTTTTAATTTTTAAAAAACATTTAATTAATTAATTAATTTTTGCCTGCATTGGGTTTTTGTTGCTGCGCGTGGGCTTTCTCTAGTTGTGGCAAGCGGGGGCTACTCTTCGTTTCAGTGCACAGGCTTCTCATTGTTGTGGCTTCTCTTGTTGCCGAGCGCGGGCTCTAGGCACGCAGGCCTCAGCAGCTGTGGCTCGTGGGCTCAGTAGTTGTGGCTTGTGGGCTCTACAGCTCATGCTCAGTAGTTGTGGTGCACAGGCTTAGCTGCTCCATGGCATGTGGGATCTTCCTGGACCAGGGATCAAACCCGTGTCCCCTGCATTGGCAGGCGGATTCCCAACTGCTGCGCCATGAGGAAGCCCTCAGACTGCTTTTTAAAGGCTGTTTTATTTTTATTTATGCTCTTGTTTCCTCCACTAGTTTGTGAACTCCTGGCTGGACATCTTACATTTTCCTTACATGTGAGGATAATCTGGCTGTGATATTCCTTGTCTCACGATTACCAGGGTTGATGTAAAGAAAAGACCCTCCTATATGGGGACTATTTAAACTCTTTGTCATTTTTCTCACACATGCATTTATTCACTCATTCATTCATTTGATATTTACTGATTCCCACTTTACCAAACCCTGGGCCAGGCATGCGTGACAGACAGATGAGTAAAACACAGTCTTTGCCTTGATAGAGCTCTCCTATCTGGGACAGCCTGGGAAAGTCTCCTTTCCTTTACAGTTAAACTCCCTGAAAGAGTTGTCTGTACTTACTATCATCAATTCCCCTCCTCCCATTCTCTTTTAATTTTTTTTTAATAGACCAATGATTTTAATGTAACAGAGTTTTTTTTAAAAAAGTTAATCCAATGTGGTTTCAGATTCCACACTGCAACTAATCTTACTTTATTTAAAAATTGAGATTTAATTCACATATTATAAAATTCACCCTTTGAAAGTGTTCAATTCAGTGGTTTTCAGTATATTCAGAATTGTGCATCCATCACCACCATGTAATTCCAGAAATTTTCACCCCAAAAAGGTCATGAGGTCATTATGAGACACAAATGTATTCTGTATGCTGGAAAGTACCAAACACATGTAAATTATCTTCTTATAGGTTTTGCTCAGTAGAACCCTTACTGGTTAAGGACGTGAATCAGGATACATACCAGTGATCCTGAGGTCTCCATCCCACGTCTTGCTTGCCTTTCTTCTCTGAAGTGCATCAAACTCTCCAAAGGGGAGATGGCAACTTTTATCTGCCCTTGGCACTCTCCACTGAAGTCTGTGATGTTGTACCAGCCACAGACAAACTGGAAGCCAGAGAGAAGTGGGGAGAGGTCCACTGAGGCAAAGCCAATCACCCTCTCCTCACCTGTGGGGGAAAGAGAAGAGCTGGGCAATGTGGCTGGGCATGTCCTGCCACTGAGATTCGAGGTGGCACACAGAGAAACTGATTTAGAGGATGGGAAGGTTCAGTGATTCCACAATCAACAGAGAAGACAGATAATGAGGATGAGAGACTGGCAACCACAGCCTGCTTTCTAACTACTGTAAGTTCCCTTTTTGTATGGCGGGGAAAAGCTGGCAGGGTTGAGTTCTGTCCTCTTGATATAGGCAACTAGAAAACACCCCTTAAACATAAGAAACACTTGTTCTTTTCCCTATGTTATCACGTCTCACTGATTTTCCTTAGGGCAGTGGCTCTTGAAAGAAATCATTTGAAAGACCATCACCCTTGGAATTATGAGGGATTTGCATTTTCTTATTTTTACTTGTCTGTATTTTCCAAATTTTCTATAACATACATATGTATTATATTTAATTAAGAACAAGAGACATAATTCACCAAAAAAAGGACAAATAACCCCCTAGAAAACCAGTACAGGGTGCAAAATGAGCTTGGGCTATGGCTGCTCAGTTTTTGTTTTTTTTTTTTTGGCCACATTGCACGGCTTGTGGGATCTTAGTTCCCTGACCAGGAATTGAACCTGGGCCACAGCAGTGAAAGCTACGAGTCCTAACCACTGGACCGCGAGGGAATTCCCTCAGGCCGCTCTTAATGACAGAGAGCGAGTAATCTGTGGGATTACCTCTAACATACATATGTGTTCCCAGAACCATCAGTGCCATGGTTTTACTTGGTTAGAAAAAGAAAAGGATTGGCAAATTGTCAACATGGTGTGAACTTATTTTTACAACCAAGTAAGACAGAGTTCATACCTCCTTTATGCCAAACTTTGAAGACCAGAGTTTGTCGTGGATCCAAAAGAAGCTCTTTAGACAGCCTATTAAGAAAAACAACCACCATAGATTAACTGTGTAGGAAGCTCCTCTAGTATGAAACTCAGACTTGAAGAACACCTTATAGTTGAAAAACACTTTTCTACCATTTTCATTTCATGCTTATGATGATCTTCTAGGATATATTTTTATCTTCACAGTTAAAAGGAGGGAATAGAAGCTCAGAGAGGTGAAGTAACGAGGAACTTGTCAAGACCTAAAAACAAGCAACCGTGATGTAGTATTCTTCCCCCTACCCCCCTACCCCGTTTTATTGGAGCAGGTAAGGATTCTTCTTATGCCTTGTGGTGGTGCGTGGAGATGGTGAGAAGAGAGGAAAGAGTGTTTATTGAGTACATACCTTGGGCCAGCCACGGTGCCAAGTGTTTCTTATACATGTAATCTACACAAAAACCTATGACATGGACATTATTATCCTTGTTTTACAGATGATGAAGCTGGGCTCAGAGATGTGAAGTCAGTTTTTCAAGGTCACATAAGAGTCAGTAAGTGGCAGAGCTGTGATTTGAACCCCAGTTTGCCTGACTCCAGAGCCACACTGTGCAGAGGCAAGGCACCAAAATAAGAAAGTACCCAACTTTCTTACCAGGTTAAAGAATTCAATGTGGAATTCACTGAGCACCTCTAATATATTTTATATGAAGTGAATTGTATAGTTTTAAACTACAAAGCAGGTACCCTTGCTCCAGGTGAGCAAGATGGAGAACCAGAAAAACTAAGAGACTTAATTTCCTTCTCCAGACTCCACTGGGGAACTGAAGAGAGCCAACTTCAAGACCAGTGAGAGGCACTGTGCTAACTTGGAACAAATACTGTGTCAGAGATTTGAATTCTAGCCGGGGGTCAAAATATCCACCTCTGAATTCTAGCTCTCCTAGTATCACCTGAGTGCCCCTGAGCACTCAGTCTCTTTGAGCCCTGATTTTCCTACCTGTTAAACGGGATATTATTATCTACCTACAAGGTTTCTACGAGGATCAAATGAAACAATTTTGTGATAAAGAAATTGCCAACAGCACCATCATTCATTTTTCTTCTAATCTTGTCTCTGTTACCAACAGACTATGTAACCTCCTTGGGCCACAGTCTCCGCAACTGTATAGTAAGGGGATGAAATGAGGTGATTGTTCATGTTGCTTTAACAAGTTAGTAAAGTTAGGTTCTGAATGAACAAATCACCCTCACTTAGAAGCTCAGCCCTCTGGTCACCTATCTTTTGAGGCAGATTTGATATTTCAGTACTGGCCACTATGGCCAGAATATCTATAATTTCCAGTAGCTCACCATAGACAGTACTGAGTTGTCACTGTAGTTATAGCTCCTGACTCAAGTCAACCACTCAGATTTCACAACACTGAACATGTGAGCAACTGCTGAGACTCGATTAGGTACATAAACACTGTGAGAAAACAGTAGATCAGATACCATGTGGCATGGCTGGTGCTGGTGGACAAGAATTAAACTTTGCAAAAGGTGATTCAGTGTAAAGATAATAGTAACAATAATTAGTAACAGAATCCCACTTTTAATGATAATGCAACAGGTAACAGAAGAAAAGGGAGGAGAGCCTGGTACCACAGCAGTGGGCCTCTGTACCAGCCCCTGACCTCCGAGCTGCACTGCCACATGGTTGACAGGACTCCATCTCCCCCTTTTTTTGAGCTTCCAAAGGAGATCTGTCATTTGTTATGTACCTACCACGTACCAGGAGGTAATTTCCCTAAATGTCATGTAATTTGGACCTCCTAATAACCCTGTCAAAATTACCTCCACTTTACAGATGAGGAATCTGAGGCTCAGAGATGTTATGTAACTTGTTCACACAGCTAGTAAATGACACAGATGGGGTATGAGGCCAAGTCTCTCTAGTTCCAAGCCCTGGTTCTTTCCACTGCACCAGAAATCTTTTCCAAGAATGTATAATCCACAGCCTTTCCTGAGATCAGTCCTCTCTGCCTTCTTCACCTAGATAGCTTGCATACATTCTTCCACACTTAGCTGAGGGGTCTTCAGGGACTGTCTTAATCGATAACCTTTAATTCCCACTGCCCAGAACAGAGCAGAGCATATAAGAGCAAAATTATTCACTGAATAATTTTTGAGTTGTACTGAGCAGAGTTAAAACACACCACAACAAAACCTTTAAACCACCACTAGCTGTGAATTCATAAGCATTAGGATTAAATAACTGTTTGATAAGGAAAGCATTCTCCAACTCTGCTCAATATTGTTGTGTCTGTTACATTCCTCACTCTGAATTTGTCTCTTGGAACAAAACGCAGATTTTGGAAGGCTGATGGAACATCATAAAATACAAACCTTGATTGCTGTTGAAAATTCCAGATGGGGGAATCTGTGTTTTCAACCACTGGGGTGTAGATAGGAGATGGCTCATCAGCTGTTGTGAAGGATACACAACAACTGGGTATTGATACTTTCCTCTGTGTCAAGGGGCTCCCTGAAATAGAAAAGAGTGGAGTGACTATACTTTAGGGTACCAAAAAGAATGTGTTGGAAGCCTCTCATTATACAAGTACAAGAAGAACCATTCTTAGCTCTCTCCTACCTTTGGGTCTTTCTTTGAGCTATTCCCTGTGTCTGAAATGTTTCTGCTACTGAAACTGTTATTTCAAGGTTCAGTTCATAAATACTACCCAGCAAGAAACAACTTCTTCCATCTCCTTGTACTCTGTGGGATGATGGAAGATATTGGATTAAGAGGCAAAAGACAGAACTGCAAAGAGCCTGGACTTACAAGTCAGATGATCAATGATTAGCTCTGCCATACACATTCTGTGTAACCTTGGGCAAGGCCTATCTAGGCCACCACTTCCTCAAATGGGGCATATGATACACCTCCTCAAATGTTGTAAAGATTAAAAATAAATAATAGTAGGTAACACTTATATAACACTTACTATGTGCCAGGCACTATTCTAAGAACTATACATGTATTAACTCATTTAATCATTACAACAAACCTATGAGGAAGATATTATTATTATTGCCATTATATAGATGAAAAAACTGGGGTACAGAGAGATCAAACAGTTATTAAGTGGTCACACATTTACTAAATGGTAAACTGAGAGTCAAATTCAAGCATTCTGGCTCTAGAGTCCAAGCTCTCAGCCATTGCCTGTATTGCCTCCACTAGAGTTAAATGAATGTAAAGCACTGAGTACTGTGCTGATGCTAATTTTACAAGATCAGGTTTCCAGTGTGGGAGACTCAGTCATTTATTTTCTCTTAAAACAATGTAAAATGAAGATGGATGACAATACTAGATAGTCTAACTCAGCTGTCCAACAAGATAACCACTAACCACAGGTGGCTATTTTACTTTAAATTAGTGAAAATTAAATAAGATTAAAAATTCTGTTTCTTAGTTACACTAGCTATATTTCAAGCACTCAATAGCTACATGTGGCTAATGGCTACCATACTGGACAGTAAAAATGTAGAACATTTCCATCACAGTACAAAGTTCTTTTCGACAGTGATGAATAACACAGACTCTACATAATGTAGTAGACTCTATACATTCCATAAGATCCCTTTCAGCTCTAAAATGATATGACTCAGGATTACAGACGAAGGAAAGAGAAAGGAAAATAATAAGTATGTCTTAAATATTATTTACGTGATCCAGAGGAACAAATTCTGTATGTGGACTCTAAATGGTTTGTCTTCTTTCTACCTGACTAGCTCAAGGCTTCCCCAAATGCATACTCCCACTTTACTTTGTAGGTGAAGTTAATCTTTTTTTTTTTTTTTTTTTTTTGCAGTACGCGGTCCTCTCACTGTTGTGGCCTCTCCCATTGCGGAACACAGGCTCCGGACGCGCAGGCTCAGTGGCCATGGCTCACGGGCCCAGCCGCTCTGCGGCATGTGGGATCTTCCCAGACCAGGGCACAAACCCGTGTCCCCTGCATCGGCAGGCGGACTCCCAACCACTGCGCCACCAGGGAAGCCTGATGAAGTTAATCTTTGAGGTTCCACCCTGCTCCTTCTCTGATTGCTCCTTTCAGTAACTACTCTTCCAAAGACCCCAGGCTGTCCCTGTGGACAGAAAATCCGAAGAACACATTTGTACTGAGGAATGCTGATTTTTACTCCCCTCCACAAGCAGTGTAACATTTAATAAGTAGCCTTTAAAAGACAGACTCTAGGGCTTCCCTGGTGGCGCAGTGGTTGAGAGTCCGCCTGCCGATGCAGGGGACACGGGTTCATGCCCCGGTCCGGGAAGATCTCACATGCCGCGGAGCGGCTGGGCCCGTGAGCCATGGCCTCTGAGCCTGCGCATCCGGAGCCTGTGCTCCGCCACAGGAGAGGCCACAACAGTGAGAGGCCCGCGTAACGCAAAGACAGACTCTAGTACCTTCTACTCTGAGAAACCTCTCTCGACTCTCTAGGCAGAATCTCTGAACGTTATACCCCCATCATTAGATCTCTCCAACTTCAACATTCTTTAGGGAAACAGAAGTGCCTGCAATTTTGCTTTGCTATGTTTTCCTCAACCAAAAGAATTTCCATTAGAGTAGAACAATTTTTTTTTGTAGTTTTAGTTAAGTGCTTTTTAAAAAAAAAATTATTTTATTTTTTATTAAAGTATAGTTGATTTACAATGTTGTGGCAATCTCTGCTGTATAGCAAAGTGACTCAGTTATACACACACAGGCATTTTAAAAAATATTTTTTCCATGATGGTTTATCACAGGATATTGAATATGGTCCCCTGTGCTCTACGGTAGAACTTTGTTTATCCATCCTACATATAATAGTTTACATCTGCTAATCCCACATTCCTAGTCCTTCCCTCCCCCCCCCCCCTTCCCCTTGGCAACCACAAGTCTGTTCTCTAATTTGTATTAGAGTAGACCAATTCTTTTCAAATTTTCCCACCAAAGTAACAACTTCTAGAGACAAAGTAAATACTAAAATCTGGAGCATTGGGGTTCTTGTTGCCTTGAAAGAGCAACAACACACATGACATCTATTAACAGGCTTGTATTTTATCTAAAATTTCATGAGGATTTTACATTATCTTCCTTACTATAGCCCTATTTGTTTAAACTAAAAATGATATTTTCCCCCCAAATCTTGGTAAAAAATTTACGTCATGTTATTTAACATCGTGACTTCTAACAACCAGACCAGATGGCATTACTTTTTAGTCCCTCTTACTGGGGATAATTAATAAAGAAAGAAAATGGGTGATGAACAGAGACAAAGGAGTGGAGATTTTGCAAGGAGGCCTTGGGAAAGAGAACTGAAGAGGAGGAAGAGGAATGCTAGCCTTAGAAGTGAGAGCTGGTAGTGGCTGCGAGGCAGGAGGGAGCTGAGGTGTGTGCAAGAGCTGTCAACAAAGCAGGACCCGGAGAAAGGCTTAACCAGCAGGCAGAGAAACACTAAGATACACAGAAGAACTACAGGAGGAACAAAATAAAACAAAAAACCACTGGCTAATACCTGGCAAAACCAGTTTACAAGCATATTCTTGAAAGAGCAGGAAAAAATGATTCTAATAAAATGGTAGTAAGCAAAGAATAGTTAATGGAAATCAATAATATAGCACCCGTCGTTACTAATGTAAAATGTACAGAATAGCACTAATGGTACCTTTATCTAGTGAGCTATCTTCTTAAAAAAGTTTTATTTTTGTGAAACTCAACAGTATTACATGGACTGACTTGCTCAGCATCCACCCCCACTTTTACTGTATTGTATTCCTTTATTGTAGAGATTGAAAGGGTCACAGACTCTTTTGTGCTAGAGTATGGATACAAATTGGTCTCTATCTGTTATATGCCATTACAACAGATCTGGAAGGCAGACGTGAGGCAGAGGACATGTTCCTTTCCCTTTTGCTTTTACTACTAGCAAGGATGACAGAGTTTTCTGCTCCAGGGTTTGGTCCCTGAGGCCCCAGAGGCCCGATGTCAATAGTGCTGATGAGAGTTTCCGATCACTGGGCTGCAGTGTTGGCACTGTATTTCAAATTTAAAAGATCTACTGGTTCTCTCCTGAAAGCTTAGCCTAGAGCCCACTCCCTGAGCCCTTCCAATAACTTAAAGTACCTTAATAATCTATATTAAACTCCTCTCTGTTTAAAATGGCTGGAGTGGGACTTCCCTGGTGGCGCAGCAGTTAAGAATCTGACTGCCAATGCAGGGGACATGGGCTCAAGCCCTGGTCTGGGAGGATCCCACATGCCGCGGAGCAACTAAGCCCTTGCACCACAACTACTGAGCCTGCGCTCTAGAGCCCGTGAGCCCCAACTACTGAGCCCATGTGCCACAACTACTGAAGCCCACGCGCCTAGAGTCCGTGCTCCACAACAAAAGAAGCCACTGCAACGAGAAGCCCGCACACCGCAATGAAGAATAGCCCCTGCTTGCCGCAATGAGAGAAAGCCTGCGCGCAGCAATGAAGACCGAACACAGCCAAAAATAAATAAATAAATATATAAAAATAGGTAAATAAAATGGCTGGAGGGAGTTGTTTCCTGTAACTGTACTCTCCCTGACACAGCTTCCATCTCTCTCTCAATCTCACCTCTCTCTCTCTGTCTCTCATTTTCCTTAGTATTAATAGGTCTCAAGCTTCTCAACTGATTTCTTCCAACAGAATGTCATAAATCCTCACAGCTAGGGAGAGATAATCTGCCTCTATACTGACAGCTTCCATAGTATTCTACAATAAACTGTGTGTGTTTGTGTTTCCCTCACTAAACTAATGCACAAAGTAGGCCCACGGCCCTTATTAAAGGTTTGCAGACTCCCTGCTGCCCTTTGTCTACAGATGACTGCCAGGGTTGGAGAAGAGAGAGAAGCTGCCTTGTGTGTGTGCCGTGTGCGCCAGCAGAGGACAGCAGCATCTGCTCAGGAAAGCTCTGAGAGAAATCAGCAGAGAGGACCAACTGTAGTTCTGAGACAGGACCCCTCGGTTCTGGTGTACTCTGCCACTGATTTACTGTGACATATTGGGTACTTCATTCTGGCTCTCTGGGCATCAAGTTTCTTCATCAGAAACATGTGCTCTCACATTACTTCCTACGATAAAATTCTATGATTCTAGATATATACCAATACTACTCAGATCTCTCTCTCATACCTCAACCCCCCCTTTTAAGGTTCGTTATTTTTGAGGCTGCTATTTGCTAAAGTCCCTGAAAGAGAAGTACTATTTTTACTTTGGAAAAAAAGTGTCCTTATTCAGTCTTGAACAGAAATACTCCTTTCAGCCAAAGAGGCAGGTGATAAAGAAATCTGCTTGGGTCTATCAGGTTTCCCTGGCTCTCCTCTTGTGGTTGGAAATTTAGCTGGGCCTGTTTACCTTCCTGGAAAAGGTCAAGTTCTGATATACTTTTGGAGGCAGCCGAGATGAAAATTGCTATACTTCCTACTGGGTTGGGACACACATTGAGAGCAGTTAAGAGGACTTGAGATGAACCAG